CTGGGCGCTGTCCCTCAGCTCTTCAGCTCAAGGCTAGCGCTCTACCACTTGAGTCACAGCACCACTTCTGGCTTTTTTCTTTTTTTGCTTATGTGGTACTGAGGAATCGAACCCAGGGCCTCAAGCATACAGGGCAAGTGCTCTACCACTGAGCCACCTTCCCAGCCCTTCCTTTCTTGTCTATGTGTGAAAATGGCCAATAAAGTGCTACTGCTGAGACTGGGGAATGCTTCAAGTGGTATAGTGCTTGCAATCACCAGATGAAGTTAGAAAAACAAGCAAAGGAATCAATCAGAAGAATAGGGCTGAAAAGGTGGCTCAGTGGTAGAGCGCTTGCTTTGCAAAGCCGCAAGTACAAGTGGTAGGGCACTAGCCTTGAATTAAGGGGGAGGAGGAGGAGGAGAATACTGCCTCAGGATAGCTGGAGACAGAATGCTGAGCCAGAAGAGCAAAAAAAAAAAAAAAAAAAAGGCCTGCCCAGAGGGTCAAGGCCTGTTTAGAAGCAAGTCTTAAGAGCACTGAAGTCCTCCTTGCTGCATTCAGGATGCAAAGATCTGACCAAAGTGGTGACTATGAAGAGGAATGATAAATCTGAGTGGCTGGAGAGACTAGATAATGATTTGAAATACTGATTTCCAAAGTATCAGAGGTAAGTAAAAGATGGCTTGTTTTTACCTTATGCCAAATTTAAGTTCACAGTCAAGTAAGTGTATCAGTTGGTCGGCAAGAAAGAGTTCAGGGAATGGGGCTGAAGGTGAAAGCAGGTTAAAAAACAGATTTGGGATCCCTTAACTAGGAAACACAATTCTACAAGACAGCCTTACAGATGCCTTAAGAAAGCGCCCAGCCCAGGAGACAGGGCTGGAACTCATCAAGTAACTGGCTTCTAGGGTTCTTTGCTTCCCTTCAGGTCCGGAGCGACATAAGCCGGGAGACTCATGTGGCCTCCTTTCTTTGGTTGGTCGTGGGGCTTGAACTCTGGGCTTGGGCGCTGTCCCTGCTCTACCACTTGAGCCACAGTGCCACTTGCGAGATAAGAGTCTCATGGACTTTCCTGCTGGGGCTGGCTTTGAACCGCGATTCTCAGAACTCAGCCTTCTGAGTAGCTAGGATTACATGTGTGAGCCACTGGTGCCTGGCCCTCCTGTGGCCTCTTCTGGTCCAAAACCCCAGAGTCCCAGCAGGGCACCGAAGGCTCCCGCCTGTAATCCCAGATACTCAAGAGGCTGAGACCTGAGGATCGCGGCTCGAAGCCAGCCTGGGCAGGAAAATCCATGATACTCATCTCCAATTGATCACCAAAAAAAAAAAAAACCCAGAAAAGGAGCGGTGGGCCAAACGCTAGAGCGCTAACCTTGAGCAAAATGAGCTCCAGGACCGCGCCCAGGCCCTGAGTTCAAGGCCCAGGATCGGCAAAAAGAAAAAAAAAAAACAACCCCAAAGCACCCAAATCCCCAACCCCCACAGCACAAGCATCCCTTGGAACCGACAAAGGGCAACGCGGGCCGGGGTCCGGGGGAGCACGAAGGCTTCCAGCCCTTCCGGAAGAGGATTTCCCACAGTGCTCTCGCGGGTGAGGGGCAAGGACTTGCCGCCCCGGAGGCTGCGAGCGCTTTAACCTGGCCCAGCGACCCCAAGTGCCACCGGAAACCGAGTCGGCCGCTTCCGCCCCCAGCCGGAAGTCCCTGGCTATTCGCTGCAGAGCGCTTCCGGGGTCCTGGGAGTCATCGAGCTCACCATGGCGGCCTCCTTGGTCGGGAAAAAGATCGTGTTTGTCACAGGGAACGCCAAGAAGCTGGAGGAGGTGCCGGGAGGGAGCGGGGGCCGGCCGGGAGGCGGGAATAGGCTGGGAAGCACGCGGAGGCCCCGCCGGGAAGGATAGGCGGGAAAGGCTGGGGTGCGGGGAAAGGACAGTGGCCAAGTGGGGACGCCCTGTGGGTCGAGGTGGGGATGAGAGCATTTCCAGAAGCCGGCACAGAGCATGTGAGCTCGTGAGGTCGGCGGGAGCTGGGGAAGGTCCCCTGCAGCAAGGTCACCTCCTGAGGTAGACCCCAAACCGATACCTCTGCTTTTCGCGACATGATGGCGGCGGGAGAGCGGGAAATGATTGCTCGAAATTGAGCGGTCCACGGCCCATCATGATCTAGAAATCCCTTTAGTCACTTTCCACATCTCTCTGTTGTGGGGTACGGTCTCTTCGCCCATCATAATGGCTGTAGCTGACAGTTTTAACAGAACGTAGTTTTAACAACGTTTTGCATGCACCAGAGCCCTTGGAAAAAAGAACTAACGAGAATTTGTATTTTTTTTGGGGGGGGGGGTCCCGTCGTGGGGCCTGAACTCTGGGCCTGGGCGCTGTCCCTCAGCTCTTCAGCTCAAGGCTAGCGCTCTACCACTTGAGCCACAACTCCACTTCCGGCTTTTTTCTTTTTGCTTATGTGGTGCTGAGGAATCGAACCCAGGGCCTCATGCATGCTAGACAAGTGTTTTACCACTGATATACATCCCCAGTGCATCCTAGGGGAGATTTTTTTCATCTCTTCATAGTTCATTGGCAAGGTGATGAACCCTATTACGGACTCTTTGTCAGGAAGTAGTTCTTTATTTTCATTTTGAGATAGTGGTTTGCTATATAAGCTATGCTACCCTTGAACTCTTCATCTTCCTGCCTCTCTGAAAATAATTTATAATATACAAAATAAAGGCATAAAAAATAACAGAGGAAATAGACTATACTTTTATTTTTTTTTGGGGGGGGTCCGGTCGTGGGGCCTGAACTCTGGGCCTGGGCACTGTCCCTCAGCTCTTCAGCTCAAGGCTAGCACTCTACCACTTGAGCCACAGCACCACTTCCAGCTTTTTTCTTTTTGCTTATATGGTGCTGAGGAATCGAACTCAGGGCCTCAGGCATGCAAGGCAAGCGCTCTACCACTGAGCCACCATACTAATGGCTAATTCTCAACATCTTTGCTGTGTATGATAGAGCAAATTTATCACCCTAGAATTTGTGAGACTGGGGCAGGAAAACTTGAGTTTGAGACTAGCCTAGGCAAAGTTAATGAGACCCTGTCTTGGAAAATAGAATGTTGATAATTCTATATTCTTTATTAATGCGTTAAAGGAGTCAGTTCAATAAAGTTTTCTTTAATTTTAAAATAATGAGGTTTGTAAGCATTTTTCTTTGTGTAAATATTATTTTGAGATGGAGACAACAAATACAATGGGGTAGATAACATCGGTCATTTTAATTTTTTTTCTCTTTTTTTTTTGGGGGGGGGGGAAAGGGGGTCATGGGGCTTGAACTTAGGACCTGGGTGCTGTCCCAGAATTTTTGTGCTCAAGGCTAGCACCTTACCACTTTGAGCTACAGCTCCACTTCCAGTTTTCTGGTGGTTAATTGGAAGTAAGAGTCTCATGGACTTTTTTGCCTGTGCTGGCTTCAAACCCTGATCCTCAGATCTCAGCCTTCTGAGTACTAGGATTACAAGCATGACCCACCAATGCCCAGCAATTTTAATAGTTTGAAAAGTAATAGGAGCCAGGGGCCAGCTCATGCCTGTAATCCTAGCTATGCAGGAGGCTGAGATCTGAGGATCACAGAAGTCATCCTGGGCAATAAAGTCTGCGAGATTCTCCATTAATCACACAAAAAGTCAGAAATGGTGCTGTGGCTCAAGTGGTAGAATGCTAGCCTTGAGCAAAAGCTCAGGGACAGCGCCCAGGCCCAGAGTTCAAGCTCCAGGACTGGCCAAGGGGGAAAGAAGTCACTGGCTTGAGAGGATAAAGCTGAAGGATCTTGAGTTCCAGATCAGCCTGAGCTCTACATATGCAAGATACCTGTCTCAAAAAAAAAAAAAATCACTGCTGAGAAGATTATTTTGGTTTGTTGAGTACATTCACAATGGAAAGAATGATAAAATTTAATTGGAAGAATGATTCTTCCCATCCAGTTACCCTCTAGAACTCTGGATGATCCTTGATAGGAAGATAGTTGGGGTGTCTTAAGAGCAGTGAGAAGACAAGTGTTCTGAATTTGGGGAAAGGGATAGTCATAAGCAGAGACCTGAAATTAGAGGAGTAGGTAAATGGCGTATCAGTTTGCTGAGGTGGGACCCAAAGGCTCATGGACCCACTTTGATAAGCTTTAGGGGATCAGTGGGAGAGTTAGCCAATAACAAAATTGGATGACAGCTTACATGATAATAGGGAATTCTCCAATGATAATAATGTTCTTTTATTTTGGAACAGGTCATTCAGATTCTAGGTGATACATTTCCATGTACCTTGGTGGCACAGAAAATTGACCGTATGTTTCTGTTTTTGCTTTGTTTTTAAAAGATGGTTCGATTTCTCTGTCTTCCCCGTGACCTGACTGTGTATGTATGTGTCTGTTTTCCTGATAAGTGCCAGAGTACCAGGGAGAGCCAGATGAAATTTCCATACAGAAATGTCAGGAGGCAGCTCGCCAGGTACTTATCCTTTGCTTGTCCACATTCAATCCTGGGGCATGTGCCTCCTGGGAACAAACAGAATAGTAGCAATTCAAAGACCTGCCCAAACACAATTCTGTTGGCACCAGTTAAAACTGGCTTTGAAACAGTGCCTTCCTGTTCCAACCCACACCCTTCTGCTTCTCAGGTACATACCTTCCAGCCCTACATTCTCCCCACACACATCCATCCCTGCAGGCATACATCTTTGGAGAACTGAGGAGCATGTTATGAATTGTTAAACTTCCTGTATGTGAATCCCAGCAGTTCCTTTGTCTGGAGCAAGCTTTGTATCTGCCAGTGTTTTAGTGTTCCCAGCTGTTATTATGAAGATGAAGAGGGCTGGTGCTGTCACTCGTGATGGGCCTCTGTCGGCTGACCTCAGCTAGCTGTGGGCTTGGCCCTAGACTGGGTGGCTTTTGGGAATGTATTTCTTGATTGCGGGTTTCAGCACTGCATGTCCTTGTGCTGCAGGTACAGGGGCCAGTACTGGTGGAGGATACCTGTCTGTGCTTCAATGCCCTTGGGGGACTTCCTGGACCGTACATGTAAGTGCTCCCAGCTTCTTGCAGGGTCCTAGCCATAAAACCAGCAAAACAGCCGGGTATCATCAGCTTAGCCTATAATCCTAACTACTCAGAAGGCTGAGATCTGAGGATTGCAGTTCAAAGCCATCCCAGGCAGGAAAGTCTGAGGGACTCTTAATTCTAATTAACCACCAGAAAAATGGAAGTGGTGCAGTGGCTCAAAGTAGTAGAGTACTCGCCTTGAATGAAAAAGCTCAGGAACAGCTGCCAGACCCTGTGTTCAAGCCCCATGACCAACAAAAGAAAAAACCCAGGGCTGAGAATGTGACTTAATGTTAGAGTGCTTGCCTAGCATGCATGAATCCCTGGGTTCAATTCCTCGGTACCAGAAAAAGCTGGAAGTGGCACTGTGGCTTAAGTGGTAGAGTTGTTAACCTTGAGCAAAAGAAGTTCAGGGACAGTGTCCAGGCCCTGATTTCAAGCTCCAGGACTGGCAAAAAAAACAAAAACAAAAAAAACAGCCGGGCGCTGGTGGCTCACGCCTGTAATCCTAGCTACTCAGGAGATCTGAGGATGGAGGTTCAAAGCCAGCCCAGGCAGGAAAGTCCGTGAAACTCTTATCTCCAATAAACCACCAGAAAACTGGAAGTGGCGCTGTAGCTCAAGTGGTAGAGCGCTAGCCTTGAGCTGAAGACTGAAGGACAGCACTCAGGCGCAGAGTTCAAACCCCGCGACCGACAAAAAAAAACAAAAAGAACAAACATCAAAAACTCAGCAAAACAGAAATGATTGTTACCTGATATTTTGGATTATTCACTATCTTGGCATCAGCATTAATACTGCAATTGTCCTAAGGACAGATTAGGGATACTGAAGAGGTGTGCCTTTCTTTTGTGAAGTGTGAGAATGTGATTATGTAAGTGGGGTTGGGAAAGGGAAAACTGCTCATTTCAGAGGTACATACCCAAGCAGATCAGTTTCACAAAAGAGGAAATGAGAAAGTTGAGATCTGCAAACTGATTTCCTTAAAACTGTCCAGTGCCCGGGCCCTCTTAGGTTTGTGTATTTCTAGGGTACAATTTGAAAACATCCCTGTTGTGGACATGGTATAGAAGTGTTCCTGCTACGTTTTGAGTGCACATATCTAGCTTTTGGATGTGAGTTAGGCATGGTGATGCACTCCTGTTAATTTCAAAATTTAAGAAGTTGAGCAGGAGGATGGCAAATTCAAAGCTTGTATTACATAGTGAGACCCTATAGAGCTAGGCACTGGTGGCCCACACCTGTAAACCTAGCTACTCAGGAGGCTAAGTGCTGAGGATCTTGAAGCCACCCTGGATAGAAAAGTCCGTGAGACTCTTATCTCCCCCTGTCCCCAGCAAAAACAAAAACCGGAAGTGGAGCTGTGGCTTGAGCAAAAGAAGCTCAGGGACAGCACTCAGGGCCTAAGTTCAAGCCCTAGGACCAGCACAGAAAAATAAACTAACGTAAAATGACCAGTTTGTTTGCCATAGCAATTGCACCTGTATATACTTATATCTACAGTATATATATTGCTCTACATCCTAACCAGCCATCCTCCTCACTATCCTCCCCTACTGTCATGACCTTTTAGTACTTATAGTTTGGGGCATGGGAAATTTTACCACATGCAGTTTTTCTTTTTTTAATATATATATATTTTATTGTAAGATACTGTACAGAGGGGTTACAGTTACATGAGCAAGGTAATGAGTCCATTTCCTATCGAGCATTGTTACCCCCTCCTTTGTTTTTCCCCTACCATCCCTTTCCTCCCCCTCTCCCTAACTCCTCCTCCCCCCATACCTCCCCCCCCCCTTTTTTTTTTTGGTCGGCCGTGGGGCTTGAACTCTGGGCTTGGGCGCTGTCCCTCAGCTCTTCAGTTCAAGGCGAGCACTCTACCACTTGAGCTACAGCGCCACTTCCGGTTTTCTGGTGGT